AAACGATGCCGGCGGTACTTTAGTTGATCAGCGTACAGCACGGCTGTTAGAAACCAATCCGGCCGCAGGTCGATCGACTTGTATACGCTCGACGTACGTAAGAAGGTCGAGCGGCCACAACCCCACAGGAACAAAGAACATAGAATCCTCCACTTGGCAGCCAGCGCAATGTTGACCAAGATCCTATTTTTCTCATCAAATGTCACACAAACCAAAGAACTTGGTCGCAAACCAGAAACTAGATCCTATCTATCATGTGTATTATTATACGAGTGTGACCCTCCAAACAAATTACTTACTCGAGTAGTTCTTAGCCCTCTGAGACAGTTTTACGAAGGCGACATAGCAACAGAACGCAATGGTTCATCTTTAGGAGACCTTCACGGACTCCTTGACTACCTAAAAGATTATCCAAATTCGAATATTCTCTCAAGTCTTTGATCTTAAGCCCTTGTGACATAGCGCCAAATAGGAATACAATTGCTACATTAAGACTGCAACTGTCCATAAGAAGAATAAAGCATTAAGAAGAGGTCAGTATTAGCTGCGAATGCCTCAAAAATTCAAGATTGTACTTACGTATACTAATCTTATAGTCACACTTACTATCCGTTACTACGCAAACAAAGCATCTGATTGAGCCGCTGACCTGTACCTCCGAGAACTAGCCGAGTGCCGCCGAACCGATTTCTACCAAGCACAGGAATATAGCAATAAGAGTTACCTGAATAAACATACCATCTGATAGTGGTTACAGTGCGATATGTACCTAGTCTACAAACCAGTAGGAATCATTTGATATTCACGATCATGGAATACAAATGACGCGTCCTTTTGGAGCCTACCGGGGATCTGCGTGTGAAATGCGTAGCCAGAGACAGGATTCTGTAGCATTTTCTACGCGGGCCTAGATCTCCACAGAGTTTTAATCTAGCCATTATTTGAGTGACACGGTTTGGTGCTACTATTAGGCGTGACGATGACTGAGGAACCCGTAGATATCATCTATGGAAAGAATGCAACTGTGTTGCTTGTCGGTAGTAGTAGAATTGTAACTAGTTCAAAGGCTTCATAATGAAGATCTATCCGTTATAAGGTACTAGGAACACTGGAATGCAGAAGCTACCCTCTAGACTGGACATTGTATAAATAACGGCTCAAGTTGTCCGTAATTATTGGGGGGGAAATTATGAATCAATAGCACTGAGCCTTTACCTCATACTTTTATCTACCATTAGTTTATTTATGGTCTACCTTTATTATTCCGTCATTTTCAGTACCTACTATTAAACATGCGCAACTCTACAATCTATTTAGCCATAGCTAGTGCTATGTTATCTCGCAGCTTGAACTCGGAAGCTCGGATTCAGACCTTTTTGCCACAAGCAGAAGTTGCTCCCGTCGCTGCTGGAGAACATGAGTTTCTCACACAAGATCATGAAGATATATGGACCACTATCACTGTGGCCACCTGGACCCCTGCGGCGCCCTGGCCCCATACGGGAACACCAGGGCCTCTTACAATAACCATAGAAGCGTCTTTTTCTCCGACAACTACATTAGCAGTGCCCAATGTTCCAGCTACCACAACTACAGAAGTACCTCCTCCGAAAATTACCCTAGGAACACCGACCTCGACAATGACCACCGTACCACCAGGGTTTGGTGTGGAAACTCTACCTGGCCAGACTTACTGGGGATGGGTGACAACTACGCGCGCGGATGGCACTTCTACAGTATTGCCCGTTGTTGCAGGCAATATGGTATGGGAATTACCAGCCATACCTCATATAGACTTTGATTTTCCCCAATTCAACCTTCCAGGGTTTAGTCTCCCATGCATTCGAATCCTATTTATCGAAATTGGTAATTGCGATGATCCTCCCACACCTGATGATTCTCCAAGTAACGGAAGTTTGCCGCCATCTCCGCCTCCGCCTCCTCCGCCGCCACCTGATAGTCCACCAAAGCCAACACAGTCAGAGCCTCAGCAAGAGACGACTTCTTCATGTACAGCGATACGTACCGTCAGTAACTGTGAAGTCACTTGCAGTATGTCCGTCGCAAACCCTAGCACCACTGTTACCACATGCTACAACACAGTATGCTCTACCACCACAATATCTTGCAGTTCGACTGGTACAACTGCAACGAGTGTTATCACAAGCGGCTGCCCGATGAGTATTCTACCACCCAGCCTCTACCAGATGCCTGTCATTGTCTGGGATAGCTCGCTCGCAGAATGTGTTATTGAATGTCCTGCGTTCAATGAATGGGAGGCCGACCTGGACGACCCAGACGAATGGACAGAGCCACTTAACGACAACTCATTTAGCTGGTTAGACTTCATAAGTCCTAGCTCGCATAAGGGTGCTGAAGACCCTGTTTATAGTGGCATCAATGTCCCGAACGGAAAGCCGGTTTCCGTTGTAGGGTTGTCGGCGTCAAGCTGTTGGATAACAGATTCGTCTCAAGTGCCAGGCACACCCAAGGTTGTTGTAACTCCACCATATATGCGGGGGCCTTCAGTGCTATCATATGATCTTGCTGGTAGCGTGACGGCTTTAGACGCAATGCCGCGGTGGCTAAAAATAACATCTAATTTTTTTTGCGAGCCAAGTTTAACCTGGGTTGATGCTTCGATTATTCAATCCGACACAATTAGTGTATCAATGACTCATACAGGCCCAGGAAGTGTGAACCAGGGAGCCTGGCCAACTATCGATCATGCATTCGAAAACCAGTGGCTTCATTGGTTTTTTAGTCGCATTATTAATACAACTGCTCAGTCAATTGTGGACACCACAGGCCCTGTGGAGATGATCAACTGTGATGACTTGGTCTATTTCATGTATGGGGGCGTTTCTGGGAATCGCGTTCGCAACTATTTCAAACTTGTGTTTGATAGTTTAGCAAGCTGGGAGCATCTTGAGGACATGATAGGCATGACCAGATCTGCAAATTCCTATGCTAAGGTATGTATCAACACTTAATTCACCAAGCTACGCGCAGGGCTCACTCAATATAGTCATTCGTTTTGAGCACACCGCGGTTACAGAGGGATTTAAATCGAGTCCTGGGACCCGGTTACGTGACCTATCCTGGTGACCCGTGGGAGGGGGATATTTTGGGACCGGACCCGGGGTTCAAGAATAAAATAGAGGAGAAGCTCAGATATTGGCATGATATATTCCTCGGTATGGAAATTGCAAACGATCCTATCCTGCAAGGCGCAATCCGTCGGACTAACTTAAGGCTGCTGGAGACATTGTAAGTCGAAACCCCCTTTTTGAACAAGATGTGTAGGAAATAATCTTTGTTACAGCGTACAAATTGATAATGAGCTCGCATGTGAACAAGCATACCAAACCGGGAAATGGGCATTCGCCCCCAAATACGAGGACTTTATAAAAAACTATACTTGGTTTTTGACAGAGCCCAATATTCTTTACGGAAAAGTGCAGGCCCTTGTTGCTAGCGTCCATTACGACATCCTCCTTGCTATTGATGCAGCACGGGCCGGGGTGTTCAGCAACGATCAGGTAGAGGAATTAAACGGGTTCATTAAGCAGTGGAACGCACTGGTTGATGTTGCAGACCCTGTTGATCCAGATTCACCTTTCTTGTGGAAGATGGACTGGGGCTGGCCCGCGTCGACACTGTTGGAAAAAAAGCCCGGCATAATATGCAACAAGCCACCGTATGGAAGCAACAGCTTCACCAGCGAAGAATTGACTGCCACGGCTATTGCAACGTACAATCCAGCATCGCCTGCTAGTTCCGTTACCATTCCGTATTTTCAATCAACGTTAAGCTTCGCTCCTGATCTGAGCTCAACACCAATCTCACGCATAACCCCGGCTCCGAGCTTTCTAGACAGCTCTACAGGACTTTCAGCAACGCAAACTTATATATACTGCGCTAAAGATTTTCAGTGCACTGAGGCTTGTGAAATAGGCTACTCGAATCAGTGCGAACTCCATGGCCTTGGAAATCATGGCTACGGAATTTGCACGTGTGTGTCGAACTCTGTGGTGTCATCCACTTCATTGTCCACATCTTCTATATTATCGACCACGCCACAACCGCCACCATCTCAACCGCCACCATCTCAACCGCCACCATCTCAACCGCCACCATCTCAACCGCCACCATCTCAACCGCCACCATCTCAACCGCCACCATCTCAACCGCCGCCGCCTCCTACAGCTAACTGTTACTTCAAGGACGCCCTTATCGGAGTGACCTTCAAAGTGTTGGATATAAACGGCTGGGCTGGAGACAAAGGAGAAACACTCCTGAGAGAGGAAAGAGGTTGTGGTGCACTGACAGACTGGCATTGGGTGGATCTCAACACAGGTGGCCAAGCTATCTTCCTACTTCCATTTTTTTTCAAAGATGGTTGTGTTGAGGATGCTATCGAAACGGCTGGTGGACCTCGAATTCAGTGCCATTATAAGGGGATTGGGGATTGGTCTAGGTAGTTCTACAGGGCTACAGGGCCCCACCACACAACTTCAACCCTACATCACACTTTTCTCGAGGCACAATCGCACCGTTTGCGTAGCAAAATTTTCCCGCCCACCTTTCTATTGAACCAAGAGAAAGAGGAGGATTAGAGCATTTGTTTGAGTTTTTTAGTTGTTTTCTTTAGTACGGGCTGGTGTAGGCTACTCTACGAGGCGTTATTGCACTTTTGGCGCTTCTAGCTACCTGATAACTGAGGCGGTGACCTCATTTTCGGCTCGTAGACTAGCCTACTTCGGCTTACGCTCTCTAATATACGTACTGCTTTCCCTAACCGAGTGTGCCCTGAAGTGTGATGTAGATGATAACATATAGTTAATGATGTGTAATATAAGGTGATATAAGGTGCTTACCTTCATTCACCCTACAACATCAATACCACCTCCATTCGCTATAATTCAAAGCATATTATTAATGAGTGGACGGGGAAGCGCCTAGCAAAAATTCGAATTGTTTAAATTAAAAAAAAAAACGGGCGCTCCTCGGATTCGAACCAAGGCACTCCGCTACTTCACACCTCGTGTTACCGATAGCGGCGTGATACCACTACACCAAACGCCTTTAGTATGAGATCCTTTCAAATTACATTATATGTGTACTTTTTACCTCTACTAATTTACTTTGTGTACATAATATCGTGCACCGTGGTAGCAGCAGTCCATATATTATTTACGCGGTTATTTGTTTTTCGTAACTAAACTAAGCAACTGTTTTTTAAAAGTTTAAAAATTACATCAATATCCCCAATTACTCTATATCATGGCGGGATTAGCCCAATCAGAAGAGGATTCGAACACGTCTACATTTGCGGAACTGACTACGCCTTTCACACCGCCCCCGGAATGCAGAAGCTGGTATATAGATGAATGCACGGATACGAATTGCTATGCTGAAGCATTCCCCACTGGAACGGGACTCTGCGGTGGTGGATTGGATGTCACGACTTCGTACGCTTGCGGCTTACCGATGGCCGGATTGGGCGCGTCCAGAGCATGGCTACAGGCGTTGAGACTGGCTCATCAACACAGGCATATGCTGGCTCGACTTCAACGGAAATTTCAAATCCGAATCCTTCTACTTCCATGACTCCAGAAAATGAAAATGCCAGAGAGTCAAGGGGCCAAGGGCGTCGACCACGCTATCGCGATGTTCGGCTCGAGGAGCCGCTCGATGTTGCTCCTGAACAGACAGATCTGAGCGCATACATCGTGCCATCAAGGCGCAGAGGAAGAGGTAAAAAAGGAGCCAACGCTAGCCAAGCACATGAAGCGGACGATCCCGAAGATGGCGCCAACGAAAACGAGCACGGAGCGACAGTAGACGTCACTTCGGCTACCGCTACATGCCCAGTATGCGGGGCATTTGAAGGAGATGAGACAGCGGTTGCTCATCACGTCGCCGATCATTTCGGATCCTAAATTCTAATAGAAGACTACATCTCGTCACCAACACACTCATTTGCTTCAATGATGCACTCGGATTTCTGCTCAGTCCAACCACTTACACATGTATAGTGTATAGCTTGAGGATACTAGTCACACTTGCACTGTACTATTGAAGATAGTATCGCTAGTGACGAAGCACATTGGACAAACCAATATTTGGGCTGACGAGTGATGACCTTAAAATTACAAATAAAATGCACAGAACAGCTTTTCCAAGGATATCGTCGCCAATTCTGAAAGGCCTAGGCTCATAGAAGCCACAGAACCAATCACTTCTTCCGGTTATGTGTAGCTGTCATGGAAGTGGTCATTCCAGCTGTTGGTGGCGTCGTTGTTGAAGAAACGGACAACTAGGAACCTAGGCCCCCCGCGAAGGGAACTTACTCAAACAATTTACGTGCCCCTCCCCTCTCCTCTCTCTACGATGAGGAAATACAGCCATCAAGGTATCCATGTTTTCATCGATGCCTTTTGGTGTAGAGCTGCCATATGGCTACCATCAGGGCTGCCATCAGGGTCGCCATCAGGGTCCTCACCCCCCTCTCATACTTGGACAAAGGCCGGCGGTTATAAGCAGAATAGCAACAGAGACATCTATTCTATTTCAAAAGCAATGTATGAATATGTGTAAAGATGGATGGTAATGCACCAAGTTTCGTTCATGTTCGTGACGTGATTATCGTCGGAGCAGGCCCCTCTGGCCTGGGTGTGGCCGCACGATTATGCGAACGCATGCCAGCAGCCAACTTCACTGACGACGAGCATCGACGCTTTCACTGGATCCGGCAACATCGTGCGAGCGTCAAAAACTCGCGGACTGGCGCGGAGACACGACGCCCCGTGGACGTCGCCACGACTACTACCCAAGAGTTAGACATACTAGCGCTTGACGCGTTTGGCACCAACTGGATGCAACGATGGCAGGGCATGTTCAAGACCTTTGACATATCTCATCTACGCAGCCCCATGTTCTTCCACGTCGACCCCGCCGAACGGGATGCCTTGTTGTCGTATGCATACGCTAAGGGCCGAGACGACGAATTAAGAGAGCTCCATGGCTGCGTCGGGAAGGAGCTAAGTAAATACCAGAGAAAGAAAAGGGAGAAACTGGGACGACAGTAAGATCTGATGCACGTGCTAAATAAATGGGCTGATTGCTGAGAATCTCTAACGTAGGCCAAAAAACATACCTACCATTGACGAGCGAGATCGGAAGGACTACTATGTGCCCTCCACGCCCCTATTCTTTTCACACTGCGACTGTGTTGCGGATCGGTACCATCTCTGTGATAATATCCTCCGCCAAGAGGAAGTTGAAGATATTAGTTATGGCGTTGTTGGGGAGTTCTCCGACGAGCAGAAAATATTCACCGTTAAAACAAATAAGGGATACCATTACGGGAAGATCGTGGTGCTAGCCATCGGTGGTAACCCGCCCAAAATACCATGTTCGCTCACGACTGAGGAGATGGAGGGAGCTACCCACGCGATGCACATCCAGACTTTTCCACCCCCATATGTGCAAAAGAAAATTGCGGCTAGAGCCCAAACAAACGTCTTAGTGGTGGGGGGCGGACTCACGTCAGCCCAGATTGCCGATCTTGCCGCACGTCGAGGCGTTAGCAAGGTCTGGCTGATCATGCGCGGTCCTCTCAAAGTCAAGTATTTCGACATTGGCCTCGAATGGGTCGGTAAGTTCCGGAACATCGAGCATGCCCAATTCTGGAATTCCGAGACGCCTGAAGAGCGATTCGACAAGATCATGAAGGCCCGGAACGGGGGCAGCATCACGCCATACTACAAGAAGATAGTCGAAAAGCAAATATCTGCCGGCCGCCTAGAGATGTTGCTGCACACCACCATCGACACCAAGACGGTGAGTATATCTCGGGGCTATTTACTTCCTGTTTTAGCAATTTCTAGAGCCGAAAATTTCCTTTTTGGTTAAAGTCGCGTCTAGAAGCTTCCAAAATCCTCGCAAATAATGCTCAAGATAGAGATAACTAACTCCGAGTTCTCTAGTGGGATCCCCTGTCTAAGACTTGGGCTGTCACATTGAAAGGGGAACGCCAGGATCTCCCGCCGATCGACCACATCTACTTCGCAACGGGCGTGGAGACGGATTTTGAGTGTCTGCCGTGCTTACAATCCATGTGCCGAGATTACCCGATTGAGAATTGCGGCGGCTTTCCGTGCATCACGGAAAATATGACTTGGACAGACGACGTCCCTCTGTTTGTGGCTGGCCGATTTGCAGCTCTCCAGCTTGGCCCCGGCGCCCATAATCTCATTGGTGCCAGGATAGGCGCAGATAGAATTGCGTGGTCGATCCAGGAAAAGCTAGGCAAGGAGGAGAGTCGCGATCAAAGCAGCTGGTCACAGGAAAAATTCAACTACCTGACGGGAAGAGGCAGCCGTTATGATGCTCTAGCCAATATTCCTGTCGCCGCGTAATTTCGGAATGATACCTAGGGGCTGGCAATGGCCCTGCGATAAAAGTATTTTCGAATAGCATAATCCCGGCTAAATAGCAGGATTAAGTTGGATGGTCTGTTTTTTTAAAAATATCTATAGCTGTTAGCCTCTCTAATAAAAGTCAATAACATAGTAACCATCTCATTTTTCTCTCAACGCTAAGGAGGCAAGGAAGCCTTTTCTCCCACTCTCAAACTCCTTCATCCCTAATGCTACAAAACATAGATAGCCTGTAATAAACACACCTCCCTTGTTCTTTAGAAAGCTATATTCTTAGCTCAGCGATCAATAACGTCAACTCAAAGCAAGTCCATAAGGTCTCCTTTCCCCTACCTAACTCCTTACCCCATCCCCTCAGGCAACCAGTTTCTTCTCAAAAATACGATATTCGGTAGGTCCTGCCAGCAGTGCGTGTAGCTGAGGGTATTCCTTCTCGAAATCACCCTGGCCAATCATCACATACCCCAAGCGCGTATACCACACCTGCAGACGGGTCTTCTCCCCATGCTCAAAATGCATGGGAACGAGAAGGTCGAGCCGCATAACCTGTAGCCCGAGGGCGCCTCGACAGTGCTCTTCTGCGAAGCGTACCAGGGCCCCGCCCAGCCCGGCACCGCGGTACGACGGGTCTACAGCCAGCATGCCGAACTCGCCCGTGGTTGCTGAAATTTTCTTTATACAGACGCAGCCCACGGGCTTCCGGGGCAAGGCGTCGGTACCGGCCTCGGAGGGGAGAAATGCTACGGCGAGCTCGCCGGCTTGTAACAGCTTCTGGATCTCGGAGGCGGACGTCCGCGAGAATGATGTCTTGTAGATGGTACCCTCGGATCTGGTGTATACGTCGTTGACGAGATGGGCTAGGGCTGTGATCAGTCCCTCGTTGTGGGCATGTGGCGCCGGGATTTCGATCGTTGCTTTGCTAGTAGCATTGTTTGGTTCGGATGCCATAGGTGCGAGGCTTGCGGTTTCACTTGTGGAACTTGGTATTAATCCTGAGGCTGGGATGCCTGTCATAGATATGTTGTTGCCGCTTATGTTGTCTTCTGTCCACCTAGCTATGCTTGCCAGCCAGCAATGAAGGCATAGGCTTAAATAGAAGTGTACAGAGAAGAGGATAGGGGAGAGGATGAAGAGGAATAGCCAGGATAAGACGGTTTTGTAGATCTCATTGAGAAGCAAGACACATACCTATAATTAGCGGCCCTAACTGTCTGTGCTTTGTGACAAGTGCTTATTACGTAACCCTTGCGCCCTTTTCTCTACATGAATATCAAGCCTCACGCCCTTGGCCGCTTGTTGTCTATTGTGAGGGACTATATATCCCAACAATTATGAACGCTGGCCACCGAAGATACACGAAGCTATAGCTGTCACTATGAAACAGGGATGACCTGTCCAAAAAATTGAGCCAATTTAGACCTACCACCTTCCAAAGCTAGATCAATATACCTCTCCGGTTAGGTTTCAAAAATAGGCAAGGTAAGAATAGTCATATGGGATGTTGACCTCGAGCGAGTGGTTATCATATCGCTGTTGTGTGTCTATGTTGGCCTAGTCGGTACCGAGGTTCAGGAATCTGAGCTGTTACTCTTCTATAAAGATGCATTCCAGTACCCTCGTACTGTATTGTATGCTGCGTA